AATGTAGGCAAATAGCTTAGATTTCATCTAAAGCTATTGGGATATCAACACACACGTTTTCATACTTATTGTTTTGAACGTATTTCACAAAATACTATTTTTCACAAGTATGAGGACCTATTTGCAAAATTTCTTTTCCAAACAATTTGTTTTTAGTATTAAAAATATTTTGCAAAGTTTCTCAATTTTTAGAGGTCAAATGAATATTTTATAAATATTTTAAGTAAGTTAAAAATCAGGTTTTTGAGTGTATCAGATTGTGGTCGACCGCCACGGTCGACCGCGCCTGAGCTCACTCGTCAGTGGGCAGCAGAAACTTTCACGGTCGACCGTCGCGATCGACCGTAAGTAAAAAATTTCCCACGGTCGACCGCGAAAGTCTCTGGACTTTGTTAAGTTTCTGAACTGACTCGCGGTCGACCGCGAAAAAGTCACGGTCGACCGCCGAATATTTTAAACGGTCATATGGTATAGATCTTAGCACCGATTTCACACGATCTCTGCGCTGTTCTGTTTCCAGGTTTTGGGGGATTGATTATGGGTTTCAAACAGCTGTGATTTTCTATAAAAACCTATCTTCTTCTTCCTCATTGTCCCAGATCTTTAAAAATCTTTCTGAGAACGTTTTTACAGAGCTTCATTTTTAAACCTGTTTCTTCTGAGTTTTTGTGTTTCACATCCTAGCTTCAGTGTTATCTTCTCTTTACCATAGGAACATTGTAAAGAGAGGGTTCTTACACCATTTCTACTATTTTAAGAGCTTGATCTTGTGTAGATCAATTGTGTGGGAGTGTGATCTAGTGAGATCAACTGTGTAGTGTAAGATCGTGAGGGGATCGCTGTGTAGAAGAAGTTCCGACTTCCAAACCGGGTTGTGTAGTGGATTTCTCCTCGAGAGTGGGGAGCGGGGACGTAGGTCAGCGAACCGAACCTCGTTAACACATCGCACGTCACAGGATAACGATTCCTAACTCTATCTCCTCTATTTTGATTGCTTTTGGATATTGTGTTTTGTTTGTCTTAATTTTATTGCACCATTATAGCCTTGTGACCCTAATCACCCCCCTCTAGGGTCTAACAACCTTGACCTATTGATGGGGTCCTTCTGAGCCTGTAAGAGGTCTCTTACCTTTACCTTTATCCCCAAACTATCCTGACTTAGCATTACCATCTTTGCCCTTAATAAATATAGCTGTGTCTGTCTCCTGAGCCATGGCAGCATCTGCCACCTCCCGCACTGAACGGAACCTCCGAGATACTAGATATCGGCGTAAACATGGGCGAAGTCCTATTATGAACATATAAGCATGCCTCTCCTCGGTGTGCCACATTCCAGTGAATCTAAGTAGTGACATGAATTTACTCTCAAAATTCGTCACTGACATATCCCCCTACTCCAACCGAGCCAGCTCTAACTCCTCGGCTTTCGCTACAACTGAAACATACTGTTCTTCAAAGAAATACACAAAAGTCTCCCATGAGGCCGTTAACCTCTTCTCTGGAGTAAAACGAAGCTGATATCATCCTCCTGCATCACCCTTGAGGGTGAAAGCTACTAGCCTCTGCTTCTGCACAGTATTCACATTAAGCATGTCCAAAATGTTGCTTACATCTTCCTTCCATTTGTGTGCCGTAATGGAATCCGTCGAACCATGAAACTTTGGAGCCTTCAACTTCTGGTACCTCTCTACCAGACGAAGCTAAGCCACATTCTCAGCCACTCTATCATCAACTGAAGGTGGTTGTGTGACTACCGGTGTCCCCTCTGGCATCTCCTCCTAAATGGGTGTTCCCTGTCGAACCTGATCTGCTAACTGCTCCTCAATAGCTACTAGTCGAGCAGCTAACGGTGCTATGAGATCTACTAAGTACTGTGGAGCCTACTACAGCTCGGGCTCTCTATCGACTTGCTCAGCTCGCTGAGCACAAGTACCTCGGCGTCCACGACCTCTTCCTGACATCTATAATATAGAAGTAGTGCTTATTACGTAGTAAAAAGAATCTCAAGCAGGAAAATATATAACGTATACCAATAAGTAAATCGTATCATATATTACTCATAGCATACCTTATTATTCAAAGAAAATAGTTCATCAAAATAAAATTTTGTAATTTTTCGCGTACATATATAATACGTCCTCACTCATACTAGGAATTTCTAGCGGGCTGTATACATGATTCCTAAAAAACTCTATCCTATCTCCACAATATGACACAGGAATGATCCTAAGGATATTGGAACCTAGAACTCTGATACCAACTGTGACATCCCATGTTTCACGCAAGGCTGTAGTTCAAGACGAAACCCGAAATGTTAAACCTGCTAAGTACCAAACACCATGCTACAACATGTTTTACCATCACAGTCACTATCCACTCTAGTGGAAACAACAAATAGGTGAAAGTACCGACAGGCAAATAATAGAGATAGAACAAACCAGGGGTATACAGAAGCAATAAGAGAAGAATATTAGTGAGCCCAACTAAAATAGAATAGAAATATCTCTGAGTCTAAAATAAACATTAAGTACAATGAGTCTAATAAAGTAACACTATGGCTCTCAACCTCTACAAAATGAAATACAAGTCTAGAGTCTAAACATAAACTACTAACTGTGGAGTTCTGTAATAACTACTAAAATAATAAATAGCTAGATGAAATCTATAAAGAAATCACATCAACCTGCGACTCTCCGTACACCGGACTCGCTGTCTGAAAGGGGAAAAAACAACGAGCGTCAAAGCGCTATACCGATATCATCTCCACCTCTCCCCAAGGGAAGAGATAGGAGTATATAAAAAATAGAGTCAGTACATATAAGTATGAAATCATTCATATAACTCTAACTGGAGATTAGTATTTAGAAATCCACAACATGAGAGTTAGTACGTCGAGCGAAATAATCCAAACAAGGAAACCCTCATGTATATACCATGTCTCAAATTGTGACTCCCAAAATACCAACTCTAAACTCTATGAATGAAAAACAGCAAATAAAAGGAAACATTCCAAACCTCAAACATGTAGAATAAATATCTCATCTCAAAACTATACTCGAGTAGACGGCTCTAATGTAAGGGGGATCTTATTCAAAACAAAAGTTAACCATAAGCCATATCATGTACGCCACGATCTCAAAGAAAGTACCCTACTCGCGGGAATCTAATATGGAAGCAAAACTACGACTGATAATACTTACATGTGTGCATCTCCTTGTGCAATAGCGATACTCTTGAAAATATCGTGAACATATGATATATAAATCAGAGAAAATAGATGTAGGCATTAGAAAACCGAAACCAATTCAAAATAGGAATCTGACTCTCTGCAGATTTCGCGATCGACCACGGCGGTCGATCGGATTGAAATTTTCCAGCTTCTCATATTTTTGGCCATTGTGCATGTTTCGACTCTTTTCTTCCTCACGAATGATCTTGTTTATACTCAAAACACATGGTATACTACTCATATACCATTTAACTATATTTATCAAAATAAATATCCATATATCATAATTAATCACATATTAATTATATTAACACAAATTTTCTGGGTTTTACATGAAATAAGCTTGATACTGATTTTTGCATCATTTACCTCATAACTTTTGTATATCAGTTCACCTATATTATATCATCTTAAATAGATATTAAATAAGAGTTTGTTATTACTCAAACACGAGCTATTAAACGAAATACGTCCTAACACTCATATCGCAAACATTGAATGTCTTTAACTTTGATTGCAATTCTAGAGATAAACTCGTATAAATCACAAATAAACAAGTATTAATCACAAAATATGGAAGCAATAAAAATTCATACCTTTACCTTGTAGCTGGCTTATGTCTTTTTAGGCTAATCCTTACATCTTATTGCTTGGTCATGAGGAGGAGAGTAATAAAATTGAGAAACAATTTTCAGTATCTAATGCATAAATTGGGTGGAGAAGGGACTTATTTATAGTCTCTGAGAAACCCTTCTCCTACATGCAATGGAGCTATTTCATGCATATAAAATATTAAAATCTAATGGTCCATAAAAGAATCATCAATTTTAACCTGAAATTCGTAGCCCTTGAAGGTTTAGAGTTTCCAACGAATTGAGAATTGCGGCTAACCCAAGTCAGATTTGGATGGACTGGGCTGCGCCAACGCTTAACTCGCGGCTTGATCGGATTCGGCATGGGGAAGCGTGTGGGGATTCTTTCTTTTCAAGGGTTCACTAGTGGAAAAATAGGTATTGTTGACGGAAACATCACTGACGGGATAATGCCGTCAGCGATGTTTATATCGCTGACGGGATTAACCGTCAGAGATGTTGCCGTCACAAGTTTATCGATCCCGTCAGCTATGTAAACATCACTGACGGGATATGAACATCGCTGACGGGTAGCCCGTCAACGATGTTGTTCCAAAATTTCCGCTCGTGAAAAATTCCCCCCTCGTTAAAAATTTCCCCCGTGAAAATTCCACCCTCATTTTTACTAACCCTTGTCGAAAAGATGTATGATAAGTAGATTTGATGAATGTGCCTGTCGAAAAGATGTATGATAATTAGTAGAGGTATGCTTGCAGTTGTGCTAGCCTCCATTCATGCAGTGTGGGGCTGACCAATCAGAGACGGGGGCGTATGGAACTGCTTGCGGCGCGCACGCGCAGACACTGTTACCGGGTGTCAATTGGATGATCGCTTCTCTGCAAACCCTGGACATAGGACTGTTGAAGTTTCTCGATACTGCTGCGTTTCGGCTTATGTATTTGACACCTTCATTTCATACATGTGCATGTGTCGGACACATGCACGAGCACACCCTAATTTTTTCTGGGTTTCTCTTTATGTCATCTACATCAAGTGACAAATATCTTCTATTCTATGCTTTTGTGCTTCTTTTGAGCTTCTTTTTGAGAGAAAATAAGAAGTGCGTTAGAGTTTGGAAACTTTCCTATGTCTAATATGGTTGTTTACAACAATTTTTTTTAAAAAAAACCTATTTCTAGCGTCAGTGCCACATGGTTATCTGAAAGAAGTTTTTACCTTTTTTTTTGGGGGGGTGCAGACAAGCTACCGTATTCTATTAGGATTCTTCTTGAGTCAGCCATCCGGAACTTTGATAACTTCCAGGTCACAAAGAATGATGTCGAGAAGATTATTGACTGGGAGAATACCTCCCCAAAGCAAGTTGAGATTCCATTTAAGCCTGCATGTGTTCTTCTGCAGGTTTGTCACACAGAATACAGATGATACCCTCATTTTCTTCGCACTCTGCTTATTGACATTTTTTATTGTTGTTGGCAGGATTTTACTGGTGTGCCATCTGTTGTCGATCTGGCCTGTATGCAAGATGCTATGAACAAGCTAGGAAGTGATTCTAATAAGATCAATCCATTGGTAATGATATCTCTAACCTTCATGTTGGCTTGTTACTAGTTGCTTGGGTACAATGTTTCATTTACTTTAAATTCATGGTACAGATACCTCAGGGGGCTAAGTTTTAATTAACTCCAGTATGCTTAATTTGTACTCTTGGTATTCTTGCTTCACTGGAATGGTTGATTTTCTTATTATTGTAATGATTTTTCACAATCACGTACTGAAAATATCTAGCGAAAAACCCTTATTGCAACTATTCGAATTGTATATTGCTGCTTGATATTGACTTTTGCTTTTATTTTTGTTGTTAAACTTCTGCTTTGGTTGCTGCTTCACTTCTTTTGCATTGTTCTTTTTTCTTGCAGGTTCCAGTAGATCTTGTGCTTTGCCGTTGCTACATTCTTATATGTGCTGGTTGTCTGTAAGTAAATTGTCATCCTCTTTCATGAAAGTTAATGTACCTCTATTTCCTCTTGCTATAAAACAACATTTATCAATTTTCATCTACAAAGGCAACTTCATTTACATGGCTCAATTTTAATGCTTCTTCTATATCAAGTGTCTGGAGGTTATATCTATGGAGTGGCCTGCTTGTGTTACGATTTATGTCTTGCCATCAAGTCACCATCTTTCCAAGAAGTATGAACCAAAAAGAAATTACACTTAAAGAATGAAATTTCCAATTTCTTATTAATTTTACTAGCGCACACATTCTTATAATTGATAATAGCATTTTGCTTTTGCCAAAACACATTCTTATTACAGTCATATCTAGTAATGTTCTTATTCTTTTTCACAGTCTGAGGATGAAGTTGAAAAGACTCTAGACGCAGAAAGTGTTGTTTCAATTTTAAAAGGTGAGAAGAAGAATCTGTGTCGAAAAGAGAAGCGTGCTAGGATCAACCAAATAAGAGTAACCCTTGGCCTTTCGGATTCACAAAGAACTCCAATGGTACTTCATTTTCATCCCAAAGTATTAAAATTTCTTCTAGGCTTAACTTTGAACCTTTGGTGCCTGATTTTAGCTTTATATCCACAGGATCAACCCTTCATTGATATAAATTGTATCCATAGCATCAACCCTTCACTGTTATTACGATATATTGTATCCATAGCATAAACTCTTAGTCAAATCCATATATTAGCTAGGCACAAGAATGGAAGCATCAATGTGCAGTGAAGAGTTGGATATGCCAAATTTAAAGTTAGACATGCCAAATTTCTGAAGTTTTAACTTTTAATATGAATTGTAAGACCATCCATCCACGGAAAAACTCATTGATAATTGTAACTAGTAAGAGAGTATTCAAATGTTTACTAGATGGAAATGGTAATGTGTTAAAATATTGTTGCTTAAGTATACAGGTAAAAATATTGAACGCTCGCAATAGAACTGAAGTGGTCTTTGGTATGGCTTGAGATGGATATCAGCAAAATTTTGAACTTGACAGAATGGTCGTTGTTCTAACATTTATGTCCGATGAAATATTATTCCAGACAGATAGATGCAATGATTTTTTGTCCCTCTTAAGTATATTAAAAGATGAGAAAACGTATAATTGCATATGACAATAATCAAACCTAACCATTTAGTACGAGGCCTCTTAATTTATATTTGCATATGACAATAATCAAACCTAATATTTTAAAGTTAGGCCACTTATGTATATTTGCATATGACATAATCAAACCTAACCTGTTACTTACTACAAGAATTCTTCACGGACTGCAAAATAAAAATTATAATATATGTGAAATGTTTATAATAATAAAAATTATATGATAAAGTAAAATAACAAGCATGTGGAACTTAATATTTCCAGAACATTCCAAGGCCTTTTCTGTTGATGTGTTCTTCCAGAACTGACTGGCTTGAATTTGAGTTCTAAAAATTTAAGCTGGTCCATCCATTTTCATCCGTCGCACTATTTTCATCCTTTGCTGCTGTATATTTATCTCCGAGGCATAAGTGGCAGCATGCATCCATTTTTTTTGTGCCAAAAGCATGTATACACATAACAGACACATGTATAGTCTCAAATTCCGTGGTATACAACATTGTTCACAACCTGTCATCTTATTTTCGTTGCTACTTTTACACCAAAGTGAGTCACTTGCATGTTTAAATGGTTTGAGCACATTTTTGCATTCGAACCCAATAGATTGTTGCGTTCCCCCATAATTTACTTTTACATTTAGAGCATGTTTAGAGTTTCATTGATGCAAATCAGCAGGCTGCTGCATGGTGATAATTGAGTGGTTGTGAATCTTGTGGTGAGACATCTGTCATTAGGTAGAATAATTGACAAGTTTTCCCTTTCAGTCTAAATTCTTCTAGGTTCTTCTTGTCGTAATCCTGTCAACAAATCCCTTTGAACTCAGAATTTCTGAAATGACCTGTTTGTCATCTAATTAACTGTCTTTTATTCTGTAGGTGGCTATGATCGAGGAATATCTGCGGGCAAACAAGATGTTTGTTGATTATAGTGAGGTAGACGTAATTTCCTCTCTAACTTAGGTACACATATCACATCCTAGAATTGGCTGATAACTTATTTTGTTATCGAAAATCAGCCTCAGAAGGAAAGATTATACTCGTCCTACCTGGAGTTGGACCTTGCTGAACTGCATTCTTGATGTATGAAATATGTATGTTTTTAAAGTTGATTATTGAGTTATACATGTGGATATAGATCTTTTATGAGATGTATATGTGAGATATTAGTTATGAAATGTGAAATTTGAATTTATGCAAGTTTCTTTAAATGTTTGTGAAATTTTGATTGTAAAAATTTTGAATGTAGTGTATGGATGTATGCGAGATACTAGATATGGAAAGTGCACGAAATTTGTGAAATTTGAATGTACGCGAGATGGTTGTGGAGATTGTTGTGAAATTTGGATTGCATATATTTCGAATGTAGTGTAGGGATTGTATACAGTAAATTTTGCATAAAATCAAAATATTTTTTTTGGTGATTATACTGACGGCGTTCCGTCAGGGATGTTTCTTCCCTGACGGGACTTTTTCTGACGGCGTATCCTTGACGGGAAGCCGTCAAGGATACCTATCCCTGACGGGAAATTTAGCATCCCTGACGGGAAAGCCCGTCAAGGATGCTCATTTTTCTACTAGTGGTTAATCTCACCAAAAGCACCCTGATAAGGGTTTTCCACATAACCCCTAAACTTATTTTATCTCACGACTAGGAAGAGAGTAGCGTAAGTAATGCATGTAAATGGCAAATAACTAATATATTCATGAAAGATTAAAATACTCTCAGACTAGGAAGAGAGAAGTGGAATGCTTGTAAATGGAAAATAACTAAATTGAAGATTTTTTAAACCTACAATTACAACTATAAGTTATAACTTTTTTCAAACCAAATCAATCAACTGCAACTACATTTTAGTTACAATTATAAAAGACCAAATGAACACAAAGGCTTCATTTATGAAAATACCAACCAACAAATATTTGCAAGAACGCCTGAAGGCTGATGCATATTCCTTTTCCCCCTTATATTATATACCCCCCCTTATATTATATATATAAGGGTGCAAAAAATATCCATATTTGAGACAACACTAGTATGATTATATTGTTGCGCGCCTTGCGGAAGCGTGTTCGACAACCAAATGAGTCGGCGTGCGTTGAGAGAAGAGAACCTAATCAAATTACGAGTGCAATTCACCAAAATACGACACAAATCAAACCAAACATAGTGATTTATGTGGTTCGGCAATTGCCTACGTCCATGAGGAGAGGATGGGTGGGATTTTACTATATGGAGGAGAAATACAATGAGTTACAACTCACAAAATCACTCAAATATAACCCTAACCAAAGCTGAGGAGAAATACAATGAGTTACAACTCACAAAATCACTCAAATATAACCCTAACCAAAGCTCTCAACTCCCTCACAATATCTCCAAATATAACCCTAACCAAAGCTCTCAACTCCCTCACAATATCTCCCTCTCAAAGTGCTCAAAAGACTGCTAATTCTCTCCTTAAGAAACCCTAAACTCGTGTTTGTATGTATATCAAACACCCAACCCAAAACCAACCAGGAAAACCAATTTTGGCCCATAACCGCTTCGCGGTCGACCGAGCACAAGCGTGCGGTCGACCGGCCAGAGAGACAAATTTCAACCCTGTAATCGTGCACGTTTTTGGTTGACCGGACATACATGTTCGGTCGACCGACCAGATTTTCGGTCGACCGGTCGAACTTGTTCGGTCGACTAACCAGAACAGGGTTTCAGACCCTGTAATCCAACAGTTCGTCGGTCGACCGGGCCTATGCCATCGGTCGACCGTGAAAGTTACCCTAGAGGGGAGTGAATAGAGTTAACACTAATCTAATTCGATATTAATGCTAATTAAAACTTATTAACAAATATATCCTAGCAAGATTGATATTCAATGAATTATTAGCAATGATATGCAAACTAAGGGCAAATAAACATGAAACATTATAAACAAGATAGTGGACAAATGAGCAATGCAAACACAAGAAAATAATCACGGAGTTTGGTCCTTCCGACCTACGTCTCCGTTCTCCACTCCCGGAGAGAATCCACTATCACAATGAGTTTTCGACGTTCACCTAAAAATATTTACACCTCACAATTCGATTTTCTACGCTCACTGACAAACGTTTACAACTCACACTTGTAACTACACAAATACCACCTCAAGTGTTGGCCTCTCACGTGTCACCTTCCTCAAGTGTTCGGAATTACCACCACACTCTAGGCTTTACCACAGACTCCACTCCTCTTGGAACCGACTACGTTTCTCACCTTACACTCCTCTTGGTGTACTTGTGTAATATAATGTGATCTCACAAATAAAGCTCAATTATAAATAGTTTGTTTTCTAACAAGGATGATAACTTAATTAAGCTCACTCTCAAAGTTACAACCCCACAACCCAAATGTATACAATATGTGATAATACTAAAAGCTCAAGGGGTGTGTGTGTAAACAATGAGAAATAATCAAAACTAAACTCAATTGTGATAATACTAAAAGCTCAAGGGGTGTGTGTGTAAACAATGAGAAATAATCAAAACTAAACTCAATTATAAAATCTAGCTTAATAAAAATGATAATCAAACAAATATATAAATGTAAAGCTAGAATTGAGTTTAGAAAAGTTTCTCTAGAAATCAAGAGAGAGAGAGATGAAGTTGACACCAAAGAGATCATCTCCTCTTGTGAAAACAATTTCACACAAAACACACTTGAAACAAAACTTAAACAAACTTTTAAACACCCTTAAACTTATTTTTAAAACTTTCTTAGTGGTTGAAAATAGTTATGACAATGTGGTATATAAGGTAGAAGAAACCAGCCCAAGAAAACACCAAAAACTAATAAAAATAATAAAATAAACAAAAACTAGAAAAGTAGTCGTTACTGTGCAACAGCTAGTTATAAGTCAACTTTTAAGTCGATTTATGTCCTATGAGTCGACTTGTTTCAGTTGTAAGTCGACTCAGGAGACAAAAACAACAAACATGAAAACAGTTCATAAGTCGACTTAAAAGTTGACTTGCTATAAGTCGACTTGTTGTATTTTTAAGTCGACTTAGCAGATAAAATTTGCAATTTTCAAAACAGTTCATAAGTCGACTTGCTACAGTACATAAATCGACTTATAAACATGTACATATATTGTTCATGTAACAAATCTAATTTTTTAAGTGCCTTAAAAAATAGCAAATAAATTTTAAAAAATGTAAAACTTTAGGAAATGATTATAAACATAAAAATAAACATTATGTTACAAAAATAATATTTCAAATTGCATCTCTCAATTGTGAAAATTTTTTATTATTCAAAATAATCCAAAAACATAAAAACTTAACAACACATATTTTTGACAAACAAACTTGCATATTCATTTTGAACGGACTAAAGGACTTAGGAAAAGATATAAAATGGTGTAATTTAGTCTTTAATCCATAAACACATATATTTTTGCAAATAAATATGATTTTATTGATTTTAAACTTGTTGATTAATGAAATCTTAAGCACATATAAATATGAAAATATATTTATATATGTGTATTGAGTTTTCATGTTTATGTGGCTAAACACATTATTTACCAAAACCAAAAATGATAAATATGAAACATGTATGTATGTATATAAATAAGTAATATTTTTTTTTATATTTAAACTTGAAAACTATAAAACCAAAACGTATATGTGTGTATAAGATTGAGCTCTAAGTATGAACACACAAGTATAAACTCTAAACTATAAAAACTATACCCAAACAATCTTGATATTCAATTAAGCTCGTCTTAGTAAACATGGATGAAGCTTAAACTTGAACCTTTGACTTGAATTGTGAATTGCTTCATTCCGATATTCCTTCCATTCTCCAATGGATATGATCGTGTAGACGCAATCCAACCAACCTCCAACTAATGTTTGTGTAGATTACCTAACAAAACAAATACAAACACTCGACACGCGTTGTTAGGAATTATTTATAATTATCAAAATATGATTAGGGAGTAGGCTCATAAACATGAGACCTAACAAGGCTAACAATCTCCTTATTTTTGATGATGACAAACAATCTAAACAAAGAGATATAAAATATGCATGATACAAAAGAATATGTAAATCATAAATATCATGCATAAAACTAAAGCTATACTCACAATGTTTTGCTATAAGTCGACTTGTTGTATTTTTAAGTCGACTTAGTAGATAAAATTTATAGTTTACAGAACAGTTCATAAGTCAACTTGCTACAGTACATAAGTCGACTTATAAACATGCACAAGCAATGTTCATGTACGAAATCTAATTTTTGAAGTGCCTTAAAAAATAGCAAATAAATTCTAAAAAATGTAAAACTTTAGAAAATGATTATAAACATAAAAATGAACATGTTACAAAAAGAAATTTTCAAATTGCATCTCCCAATTGTGAAAACTCTTCATTTTGTAAAATAGTCCAAAAACATGAAAACTTAACAACACATGTTTTTGACAAATAAACTTGCATATTCATTTTGAATGGATTAAATGACTTAGGAAAAGATATAAAATGGTATAATTTAGTCTTTAATCCATAAACACATATATTTTGCAAATAAACATGATTTCACTGATTTTAAACTTGTTGATTAATGAAATCATCTTAAGCACATATAAACATGAAAATATATTTATATATGTGTATTGAGTTTTCATGTTTATGTGGCTAAATACATTATTTACCAAAACCAAAAATGATAAATTTGAAACATGTATGTATGTATATAAATAAATAAATTTGTTTCATATTTAAACTTAAAACTATAAAACCAAAACATGTATGTGTGTATAAGATTGAGCTCTAAGTATTAACGTACAAGTATAAACCCTAAACTATAAAAACTATACCTAAGCAAACTTGATCATCAATTAAGCTCATCTTGGTAAACATGGATGAAGCTTGAACTTGAATCTTTGACTTGAATTGCGAATTGCTTCATTTCGATATTCCTTCCATCCTCCAATGGATATGATCGTGTAGGCGCAATCCAACCAACCTCCAACTAATGTTTGTGTAGATTATCTAACAAAACAAATACAAACACTCAACACACGTTGTTAGGAATTATTTGTAATAATCAAAACAAGATTAGGGAGTAGGCTCATAAACATGAGACCTAAAAAGGTTAACAATCTCCCTCTTTTTGATGATGACAAATAATCTACACAAATAAGTATAAAATGTGCATGATACAAAAGAATATGTAAATTATAAACATCATGCATAAAACCAAAGCTATACTCACAATGTT